TCCTAGTTACCTGTTCTAAAATGGTTCTTGTTATTCGAGCAACATCAAACTCATCAGAAACACAAACCCATGCCTTCAAGTCAAACCTGCCTTCCAGTTTTTTGTTGTTGTAGATGAGTCGAGCAAGAGTTGTCTTGCCTAGTCCACCCATTCCGATGATGGGAATAACAAAGTCTTGTTCGAGATTGCCTCCATCTTCTAGTAACCTCTGAAGAATAGCATCTTTATCACTCTCTCGACCCAACACTATATCTTCAAGAAGAGAAGACTCAGGTAGTCTTTTTGCAGCTACTTTGTCAAACTTATTTTCAAGCTTCAAAGCTAAATTGATTAGACCTAAATTATGCATCTGATCTTCAATTTGTTGCAATCTAACATTAAGATGATTCACCATGGAATCAATCTTTAGATTAGGCTTAGCTTTAGACAAAAAAAAATTCATGATATTGAAGGCAATTTTTTGTCGCTTGCTAGCTCTGGTTTCAGATTTTGCAATCAATTCGGAACTCTTGGCATCAATCACAAACTCTTCAAGTATGTCATCCATATCACAAGCCAAGTCCTTGAGATCATCAAGACATGACTTCACGAATTGGTTGGCAACTTGATTTTCTTCTGCATGTTGAAGTACAATAGTGATTTTGAGCAATAGAGTTTTCCAATGTTCCATCTCGACACGTACTTTCTTGTTTGAATTCCATAGCTGATCACTTAGATATCCTTTTAACTTTTCTAATAGTGTGTCATATGTAGTAGATAAAAGAGAACTTCCAACAAAGGATAAAACTTCCATTGGATGAAACAAGTTTCCTACAAAAAAGAGAGGAATGGATTGACGTACATGTTCGTAGTATGATCTATTGAATAGAAACATATGTTAGGCTATCATTGAATTAGTCTTTTATCCTAATGGATAGATATAATTAGTTTCGTTTGTTGGTATTGAAAATAACAAGATAAATCTAAGTATTATATTGCTCTGTGTGGTTAAATTGAGAATTAAGAAGGGCTTTCATTTACCACAAGAATAAAATATGAAAAAGAATTTCAAATTTCTTTCTTATATAATGAGTTCCCTTTTTTTTTTTTTTTTTCCGTCCAAGAGGATAAGAGATTATAGATAGGTTATAGAAAGTTTGAGGATTTTAAAAAGGAGGCATTTTAAGAAAAGCTATAGGGTCTGTTTGATATAGTAATTAAAATTCAGTGGATATAGAGTAGTGAGTAGTGGATAGCAGTAGCAAGTAGCGGTTAGTAGAAAGAGGGTATTGAATTGTGAATAGTGAATCTTAATTGATTTAACTGTTTGGTTATATAATGGTTAGTAGTTGTTTTATTTAACATTAAATAATTAATTAAATTTCAATTAATTTAATTTTTTGTTATTCGTTAGTCTTAAACTACTAAATAAGAAATTTTACCAAATATCTAATTTATAACAATTTTGAAATAAATAATTCTAACAGTTTTATCAGACGTCTCCGGAGGATAGATATAAACCTTTCTTCACTTGAAGAGTTGGGAGTTAGAAACTGCAGTGCGAAGTTTTTAAAGAGCACGGTTGATCTCACCTCCCTTATTAAATTGAGAATATGAGGAATTGTAGAATTGACTTGCTTGCTTGAGAATTCTACACAGTCCTTAACAGCACTTAAGAAAAGTTGTACATATTCGATACATTGATTTGTCTGGTACATTTATCGAATGTATACCTGAATCAGTGGATTTTCTTCTCTTCTTACAGACACTATTATTTCGTGGTTGTAGAAAGCTTACTAAGTTGCCTATGATGATTGGGAATTTAATTGATCTCCATCATCTTGATATTTTTGGTATGTCATCTTTAGAAGAGATGCCATCAGAAATAGGCAATATTAAAAATCTTGTAACACTACCCAAATTGTTTGTGCGAAAGGCAAGTGGAATGATGAGATTATCTAATTTAAAGAACTTGTCGCAACTTCGAGGAAGATTGTCTATTCTAGATCTGCAGAATGTTTTGGATGTTCAAGATGCTAGGGATGCCACCCTAGACAAGCTCCATGGTTTGGAAGAGTTAGTCTTGGAGTGGACTACTTTTGATAATGATGAAGATGAATTAGTCCTCGAAATGCAAGTCTTCAATTGGTTAAAACCTCATTCAAATTTGCAAAGTCTTGAAATTTCTTGATATGGTGGCAGAAGTTTCCCAAATTGGGTTTGTGATCCATTATTATTTATCAATTTATCATCTATAAAGCTCAGGTGTTGTGAGAGATGCACTTTATTACCATCACTTGGCCTACTACCTGTTCTCAAAAAATTGATTGTTATAGGCATGGTGTTAATAGAAGTTTTAGGTTATGAGTTTTATGGGGGACATGTCTCTTTTCCTTCATTGGAGGAAGTGGTGTTTGAGAACATGTTAAATTGGAAGGAATGGACTTCTCCAACTGGAGGTGAAGGTGGATTCCCTTGTCTTCGTGGGCTTGTCATTCAAAATTGTCCTAAGTTGTTCAAACAATTACCTAGCAACCTTTCTTCACGTGAAGAGTTGGGAGTTAGAAACTGCAGTGCGAAGTTTTTAAAGAGCATGGTTGATCTCACCTCCCTTATTAAATTGAGAATATGGGGAATTGCAGAATTAACTTACTTGCCTCAGAGTTTTACACGGTCCTTAACAGCATCGAGTTCATCCAAATGGGAATTCGATGAGTTTTATTGAAAATTTTCAAACTGTTAGATAAATCTAATACTGTAGCAATCAGGGAAGAAAATTTAACCATCACTATATTCCCTAAAAACAGACTTTAATTAAAAATAATCAAATGCTCTAATATATTATAAGACAGTCAATAAATAAAAAGTTTTTAATTAAAAAATTTAAACAGTACTAATTAAATCACTCAATATTATCTCATTGATTTTTTCCAATATACTAGTATATATAGGTATTATTCAACATTAAAAAAAATACTTAATTAGAAATAATGATTTGAAGAGATATATCTATCGAAAGATCGCCCAAAAGCCAAAGAAAACACATGTAAAGTGAAATTTGAGTAAAAAACATGTAGCTATCTATAGCTGGGGATTAAGAAGCGTACCTTTGCTTTTAGCTGATCTCAATGCCCAAAGCTGAAGCCAGCGGGTGGAAATATTTGCTGGAAATTAGCTACAGAGTTGGAAGAGTAAAACAAGAAGAGGATGAGAAAGAGAGAGGCTCCGAAGGTAGAAGGATATGGATGAAGTTATGAGAGAGAATATTTAGGTTGGTATCTTATGTAGAAAGACTGATTTGAATGTGATAATAAAAAGGAGTAGTTAATCACATATCCAGTACCGCATTATATATTGATGGCGTAAATCAATTATTACTAAATAAAATTAAATACCGAGATAAGATTAAATTAAATTTATACATTATATGATTTAAATTTAAAATTTTAAAATTTATTTTTTAATATTTATTGTTAACGTATCTTCAAATTAATTAATCTTTACATACGTTGAAATTAGTCCATTCTTAAACAATTTTAAGAGAGCACGCCAACGTTTAGAAGGTGCATTTAAATTGCGAGAGCACGCGAGGGAGTATTTCGATTCTAATTTACATCATAAATTAGGTAGACAATAACTTTCTGTCTCCAACAAAACCCGTGTATTACCAGAGAAAGTCTAAATTTATAATAATATTATATAATATCTAACTATAACTTAATGTAAATTCGTTAAAGAAGACATAATTTGCCTCCTACAAAGACCCGTATATGCCGCGTTTTCGCGTGTTTTGACTATAGAGCACAATAGAGACATTGAGGACATGTTCGGTGTAATAGTCAAAATTTAGTAAATAATGGATAATAAGTAATGGATAGTGGATGGTGGTAATGAGTAACGAGTGACAGTTAGTAAATAGCGAATGGTAGATAGTGAAAAGTGGATAACGAATGGTAAATAACAAATTTGATAAATATAACTGTTTGACTATATAATAATTAGCAGTTATTGTTTAACATTAAATGACTAATAAGGACATATTTAAAAACAAATAAGTGTATTTTTTAAAATATTTTTATTTTTATTATTAAAATTATTAACTTTATAAAAATAATAATAATAAATAAATAAAATTAATTATAATAATGTAATTACATCATTATTTTTATTTTTAAAAAGAAAAAAATTATATTATTTTTAAATAAAAAATTAATCATTTTGTCTAATTAACAAATTTTGTTTTTTAAGATAATATATTTTTTAATTATAAATTAATGTACAAAAAAATATTATAATCACTTAATGTTATTAAAGGTAAAAAAACAAAATTAAAATTTATTAGATAATTATTAATTAAAAAATGTGACCACAAATTAAAAAATTAAAATAAATAAATTTGTCAATAAAATTAAAAAATTTAATCTACTAGCGGTTTGCACCATAACTGCTATCCGCTAATCTCAAATCGCTAAATAAAAATTTTACCAAACATTTTATTTGTAGCAGTTTCGAAATATATAAATTTATTAAACACCAATATTTAATGATTTAAGTAAAATCACTAATTGTTACCCCAAAATCACTATACCAAATGGGTACTAAGTGTGATAATAATTTTAGGGCTGCTACAGGCCTCTAATAGAGATAATCACCACACGGTCAACCTACCCTCTCCCACAACAAATATTAAGAGTCAATGCCGGAGTTTAAAAATAATTTATTTTAAAAAAATTTTAATGTGCATCTTTCACATTAAATTAATATATTTTAAAAAATTAATTGTATTTTGTGTTAAACTAAAAAGTTTTCACCCTACAACTACAATCATTGCTCGAGTCATTTGACAATAATATTTCTATTGTTTATTTACAATTTATAAGTTTTTGAACTTGCCACCCCCCCTGGATATGGTTATCTCTTGTACAGTGCTTGCTTATTAATTTCGGCACATATATATATATATAGTATCGGAGAATATATCTTATTGTCTCCCAAAATGCCTTTAATAAGGGTTTGGGATTACTTTAAGATGTTTTGATTGTAATTATAATTGTAATTATATTAATGTTGTGTTGTATGACTAAAATTTATTTTGGTATTTAATTTTTTATTTTTTAAAAATATTACAAATAAAATATGATAAATTTTATTAATTATTAATTAAAATTTTAAAAATATTATATGATATATACCTATTAAAATAGATAACATTTAATACTTTTTAATAATTTAAGTTTTTTAAGCTTCTTATGGGTGTTTTTTGAGTTTCACATATAAAGAGGGAATGAGTTGTTAATTTTTTAATGAAATTTTTAAATAAATGAAAAATTAAATTTAAATAAAATATTATAAACTATGATATAATTGAATTAAATGAGATTGAGTTTTAATAAATAAATTTATAATTGTATTAAATAAAATATTAAATATTGTTCATGAGAGCTACTTTTAAAAAGTTTTAAAATGAAATTTGTAGTTTTATATATATAACTAGTTTTTGTTTTGCCTGTGCGTTGCACGGGGTTTTTTTTATATTAGAGTTTAAATGGTTTATTATTTTTTATCAACTCTTGAGTTTTATAATGATTTTTAATTAAAAAATTTTAATTAAGTAATTAAAATTGAGTTAAAAATTGTGTTTAGTAATTAATAGGAGTATTTTTTTAAAAAAAAATTGTATATAATCGCATTAAAAAATATATTAAGAGAATTTAAAAAAACACTTAATCTTAATTCTTATATCATATTTCTGTTTTTTTCTCTACTATTATTCTATTTAAAAATTTAGATAATATTTTTTCTTCTTTCAATTAAAAAACTATAATATAGTTAAACAGAATTAAATACCTATATGTTTTATATGCATTATACAAGATCTTATTTATACATTAATTTTTATTATTGTTAATGTTGTTGTTATAATAATAATAATAATAATAATAATTATTATTATTATTATTATTAATAAATAGCAATTTGTTTTATATGCATTGTACATGATCCTATTTATA